CCATGAGCCTCTTGTTTCACGGAGGCTATTTCTCTTGAGAGATGTTCAAGTTCTTGAGCTCTTTATCGCCCTTTTCGCCTTTGTCGCTATACATTCCTTGCGTCAGAAGAAACACCAAGGTCTTCCCGTGTGGCCGTTTCTCGGGATGCTTCCTTCTCTAGCTTTTGGCCTCCGAGGGAACATATACGAGTGGCTTTCCGATGTTCTATGTCATCAGAACGGGACTTTCCGTTTCAGAGGTCCCTGGTTTAGCAGCCTCAACAGCACTATTACTTGTGATCCAAGAAACATTGAGCATCTCCTCAAGAACCGTTTCTCTGTCTTTCCTAAAGGTTCCTACTTCCGAGACAACCTCCGAGATCTCCTAGGAGACGGAATCTTCAACGCGGATGACGAGGCTTGGCAGAGACAGAGGAAAACCGCGAGCATCGAGTTTCATTCAGCAAAATTCAGACAACTAACCACTCATTCCTTGTATGAGCTCGTGCACAAGAGGCTCTTACCGGTTCTTGAAACTTCGGTTAAGAGCTCATCTCCTATCGATCTACAAGATGTCCTGTTGAGGCTAACGTTCGATAACGTATGTATGATTGCTTTTGGAGTCGATCCAGGCTGTCTCGGACCTGATCAACCCGTGATACCATTTGCGAAAGCCTTCGAGGACGCGACAGAAGCTGCGGTTGCGAGATTTGTGATGCCAACTTGCGTGTGGAAGCTCATGAGGTGTCTTAACTTAGGAACAGAGAAGATGCTAAAGGAATCAATAAAAGGTGTTGATGATTTCGCTGAGGAAGTTATCAGGACGAGGAAGAAAGAACTGTCTCTTGAGGGCAAAACAACAAAGAGATCGGATCTCTTAACGGTATTTATGGGTCTGAGAGATGAGAAGGGAGAGAGTTTTTCAGACAAGTTTCTTCGTGATATCTGTGTGAACTTCATACTTGCTGGGAGAGACACTTCTTCGGTTGCTCTGAGCTGGTTCTTCTGGCTGCTTGAGAAGAATCCAGAGGTAGAAGAGAAGATCATGGTGGAGATGTGTAAGATTCTGAGGCAGAAAGATGACCATGGGAATGCAGAGAAGAGAGATTACGAGCCTGTGTTCGGACCAGAAGAGATCAAGAGGATGGATTATCTACAAGCTGCTTTGTCTGAAGCTCTCAGATTGTATCCTTCAGTTCCTGTTGATCACAAAGAGGTAACTTTTAACTAAACTTACTCTGTTTTTTCACCCAAATTTTATTAATTGCTTCCCAAGAAAGACAATTTGATTAAAATTCAAGTAGATTAAATTTAGAAACAACTAATTGTTTGTTATATTTCCTTAACATATGATAAACCCTTACTTCATAATATTGGATGGGTATAAACAAACAAACTCACTCGATGACAATTTTTTTTTAAAACCATTTCTGTTTGATTTTTATTATAGGTGACCTAACAGTAACCAGATAGAGTAAATATGAAAAATTCTTGGGAAGACACCTAATTAATACATGGTCTCTTAAAAAAATATTTTCTTTAAAGAAAAAATAAATAACTACATTTTTGACTTCTTGGTAACACACAAGAATGTTATGTTTTGTTGTTTCCCCATGAAACCTAACCAACCAACTCATTCATATTAAATTTTCATGATATTAACCAATCACATTCAAGCCCGTGAGGTTTACTATAGACTATGGAGTTGCTAAAAT